AAGAAAACATATAGACATCTCTTCCTGCTTTCCTTGGCTATTGTATTCATAATACCTTGGTTTTGATACATGAATTTCCTTGATTTCTATTTCTCAGTTTCTTTCAAAATTCATTTAAAAGTTAGAAAGATACTCACTGATGCTGAGGGGAAGGGTCAGTCTGTAAGTACCTTCCATCTAATTATAAGGACTTGTGTGATCCCCAAATCTATGTACATATATATTGATGGCTTTTCCCTTCAACCTTTCAATTCCAAAACTAAGGAGTTAGAGAAAAGCAGGTATGTGGTGAGTTTTTTTTAAACAAATAAACAGGAGATGTCTCAACCACACTCTAGGGAAGTCCCTCCTGCCCAGAAGTAGTAAGCCAATACAAAACAGACTCCATTTTGTGTATGTGTATGTATCTTTTGTTGTTGTTGTTCTTTTGCATTTTTGTCTCATTGTATTTGTCTTTGTATTTTTCCACATTTGAATGGTTTTGTGTTTTGTTTACTGATTTTTTTTTTAGCAACAGAGAAATTCACATGCAATTGGATGAACAGGAATGTGGGAGGATCTGGGTAAAGTTGGAAGAAAGAATATAACCATGTAAAATATACATTATGTCATATATAGGTATATATAGGTATACCTATATGTATGTTCATATCAACAATTTGTGAGAAAAGATGATGTAATTGAAAGAGAGCAGGGAAGAGTATACAGTAAGGTTTTGGGGGAAGAATAGGAAAGGTGAAATTAAGTAATTATAATCTCAAACATAGCAAACAATTAAAACATGTTATATGTAATTTTTAATTTAAAAATACAGAAAGCAGTCACATGAAGAACTTTCCTAAGATTGACGTTGGTTCTCTAAATTCTTGGACATGCAAACCTATACACATTCACACTCATTTATGTATATACAAATGTACACACACACACACACACACACACACACACACACACACACACGAAAATAATGACTAATAAGTATTAATACTGTAAATAATGCTTGTATTTTTGCTATTTAGGACCAACATGAAACTGAAGAAAATTATTTCTCTACTTGGTTAGGACTGGCCAATTTGCAAATACCCAATGAAGACATTCACTCTATTGCCCTTTATAACCTATTCCAGTGTCTGCTCAGATGTATTCATAAGGTTATCACTTATCTGGATTACTGAAGTGACAAATCGTCCATGACAGCAACTGCTAATCACATATCCATTGCATTTGCTGCTGAGATAATCCTAGATGAATCAGACTTTTAAGGCATCTTCTAATTTTTACCTTTTGTGTCTATGTGTGGCTATCATCTATATTTTCTTATAAAAATGATTCTTTATAAATGTCAAATTCAAAATGACAATCTGTCAAAGTTTCTTTAGCTGTTTTATAAAAAATGAAGCAATGTTGTGACAGGCCTATAAACTTTAGTAGAGGTTCAAGAATATGATTCACTTGAGGTAGAGTTCTAGAGACTGGATAGAAAGCCCATAGACAAACTTGGAAGGCAATACACATAACAATTTATCTAGATTATTTTGTGATATACTATAGTTTACATCTTGAACACAAACTCTGAGCTTTTCTCACTTAAGCATCATTCAAATTCTGCCCAATCATAGCTCACAGCTCAAGAAACCTGGTAATCTGATGGAGCCTACTGTACAACTTGCAGGAAGTGGAACTGGTTAGAGAGTCACCTTTCCAGGAAGCCTCTTTGGCTTTTGCTTCTTCCAGGGATCTCACCTAACCTCTGTTTTTCTTTTATGCAAGGCAGTTCAGCTCATGTAGGCTCCTTCCAGGCAAATCACATCGTTTCCTCCATTACGTGCTATGGTTCTGACAGTCATTTAGGCAGATCATTGTGTCAGAGAGTGTTTCTCAGCATTTCTTATAGTGTCCACATGTTTGGAAAGAGGCTCCTAATTAATTTGGCCAGGTTCATGTACTGAAGTGCTTGAGTTGTTATTTCCTGAGCATAATGGGTTTTCCTGCAGGATGGAGTGTTTGCCTCCCCCTAGAACCCAAGTTGTTTCACTTCCTCACATTTTACCATCTGACATCATAAGAAGCTTCCTTCCAAGATTGGAGGTTAATCTCAGAGGAAACTGTTACATCAAAGGGTTTACTTTCTAGTTTCCATAACAGAAATCTAATCTCAGAAGTCCCCATGTGGTTTTGACATCATACATGAGAAGACAACATAAAACACATATATATCAAAAGATATTAAAGATAACAGAGACTTTCAAACCAAAACAGGCCCCCACTTCTTTTGACCTTTGCATCCAATCTCCACTATACTTCACATCACCTGGCAAAGGTTACCAGCACCTGGAATGTTCTATATTCCAACCACAGTGGCCCCTCGACTTGATTTATAGAGAAGTACATAATTTTCTACTTCCATCCTTATCTGTAGACATCCAACATATTATAAAATATACAGGGCACATTATAGGTCATACCAAAGAGGAACTATGAATGAGATTAACTGGAATTTTCTGGGGGCAAAGGCTGTGGAATTAAGGTTGTTCCTGTTTTCTACTGTAGACCAAATTTGTGGGATGTAGAAAATTGACCCATCCTGGATTTGTATAGTTCATGACTTAATGGAAATATAATAGATATTTCTTATCTCTTTTTGGATGTCAGCTATACAGCCTAACTGCTGCATAGCTGATAGACACATTAAAATGTGTCAGTGAAATACCTGACAGTCAGACAAGAGGGGGGCACTATCTGTGCTCAGAATACATTTGCCCACACTAAAACACATACAAGATTATGAATACTGTAGCAGAAGGGTGTTTTTTTATTATTGAGTATAAAAGCAAAGAAGATGTCAGGAAAAAAGGAAAAGGTTCATGAAGGACGTCACTGAAGGCATATGGTAAAAGATCGTGTTGAGACTAAGCACGCTTTAAGGATACAAGGCTAGCTCTGCATCTCTGCATCTCTGTGCACTTTACCATTTGACGTAAGTACACTAAAGGTGAATGACGCATGTAGACATATGGTTCACATCATATGTTGACAGATATCCTTGAGGCTGAACTTATGTAAGTGGGGCTTGTATTACTGGGAGAAATGGGAACATGGTACAGTTGAAATTGTTGATTCATCCTTGGGCACTTTGAGCTGTAATTTTGAACAATAAACAGCCTGTTCCTAACAAACCATCTACTATCTTTCAGAACCCATAGGTAATTAATGGGGCAGTAAGTATAGCAGAACAGAAAGGGCCATGGATTTACTAAATACCTTAATGATCAATGTGTGACATTTTAACTGATCCTATTTACTCAGTGCCACACCAGATGACAGCATAAGGTAGGGCTCTCAGGCAGACTGAGTACAAAGTATAGACTACTAAATAGAGAAGAGTCTCTCACCTGGGCTAAATTAATCTACTTTAGCTATCCATCCTTGTTAAGACATAAGTCCTCTTCCTTTATTGTATCTTGATACAACTCTTCTTAGTACTCTTAGAAATCATTTTTTTTTGGAGGTGATGTATTTATATATGTTATGTTTAAAGTCTGGACTAAAGGCATGTTACATGTAATAGAAAGAAAAATTCAGTGAAGCCCCTTTCTCTTACATTTCCTGTAATTGTTTTTCTTTTTTCCTCCATTTTTTATTTGAAATAGAAACAAGACTGTTTTTACATGTCAATCCCAGTTACCTCTTCCTCCCCTCCTCCCCTGCCTCTGACTAACACCCTACCTATCCCATACCATTTATGCTCTCCAGGGAGAGTGAGGTCTTCCATGGGGGTCTTCAGAGTCTATCATATCCTTTGGGTTAGGGCCTAAGCCCTCCCCCATGTGTCTAGGCTGAGGGTGTATCCCTCTATGCGGAATGGGCTCCCAAAGTCCATTCCTATGCTAGAGATAGGTACTGATCTACTACAAGAGGCCCCATAGGTTTCTGAGGCCTCCTCACTGACACCCACAGTCACGGGATCTGGATCAGTTCCATGCTGGTTTCCCAGTGATCAAACTGGAGTCCAAGAGCTCCCCCTTGTTCAGGTCAGTTGTTTCTGTGGTTTTCACCAGCCTGGTGTTGTACACTTTGCTCATCACTCCTCCTTCTCTGCAAGTGGATTCCACATCAGTGCACTGTTTAGCTGTTGGTGTCTGCCCCTGAAGACCAAGCAACTCTGGATTCTGCTGAGATTCTTAATATCAAGAGCATTATATATATTCTCTTGAATCTGATCATTTTATGCAATCTTTTCTCGATATAATGCTCTCTTCTTTGTGGCTTGTTATTTGCAAAACCATGTGGAAAAGGAAGCCAAATAGAAATTAAAGGATGAGTAGAAGGTACCTATCACATTTGAAAAACATCATTCCAAATACTTTCAAGTTCAATGAATTCATTAAAAGAGTCTTTTAAACATTTGAGTTTCTGCCTACTTTATACTGAGAAAGTAGCTACTCAGTGAGAATAAGGATTTTTGAGTTTGGAGGATACACCAATAAATTCATATTTTGGTAAAATGTTGAGAATAAATGACTGTTGCTGGGACATGCTGGCCTCTAACTCAAAAGATAACTGATTGGAGGCATTTGTCATCACCTAAAAATTCATGAAACTTAACAGATCACGTGACAAAAAGAATTCTAATCTAGAGAAAAATTATGAGAAAATAAATATGTTTTTTTATCCATGACATGAATCTGAATCATTAAGATACTGAGATGACATTTGTGATTTCCAAAATAATTTGAACCCTGGACATGGTTCCAAAAAATAAAATAATATATTCAGAGACAGAACTGTGACAAGAGTAAGGATTATTTCAATACTTCCTGAGTGGATAATATCTTGAAACTTTTACCTAGCAAAGGACGTTACTCCCTTCTGTCCCTATACTTAAAAGGTCATAGGTAGATTCTGTTAGTATATATGGGGTGATGAGTTGCAAGAAGACAGCACTCAGCTACAGCAGCTCTCCTGTGTTGTAGTCCACAGTGCAGCAGATCTCCTCAGAGATGCAGCTGTCATTGACTCCACTGTCTTTCTGTAAGTAGCAATTCATCCATGCTCTCCAACTTTATTAGTGTATCATTTCAAAAAGATGGGTTTGGAAGGGATACATTCTTTGGAGTTATCAGTGCTGTAATATTTGGGGAACCGATGCACTTTATGACCTGAGTCTAGTCAACAATGTGCTACAAATTATTTTTCTGAAACTAGTTGCTTAGTTAACCTGGAGATCAGTGGTTCTCTAGGGGAATCCCTCTTCTGTGAAGATACATTCCAAGCAACGTCCATAGACATTATATACTATTTTAGCTTAGTTTATTTTATTTTCATTTTTGATGTAAGGGTAACAATGATCAGAGTTACAAGTCTCTAATGGGCACATGCTTCTAACCATCTTCCTCTGCACAGGACACTTTCTAAAACTACAAAAAAATAATACAATAAAAATGGCCAGATAGGTGAAATTGAGAAGGTGAACTTTTTTGAGAATGTAGGACTCAATGGCATAATTGTGTCAATCACAGAAGGAGGAAATAAATTATGGGTAGTGAGGGTTTGTGAACCTTTCTGCTTAAATAAATCCACCTGAGGAAGAGTTAGATTTTGGAACCTTATTTAAACAAGGAGAGTAAGTTTGTGACTTTACCAATTTGTTGCATGCAAAAAAAATAGTAAATGAAAAAGCATGTTTGTTTTTAAAAGTCATCTTAATATTTAAGTGATATTTCCATGAAAATGAATTAGCAAACTATTTAACTTTAATAATATGGAAAATAAACACAAATTACCAAAACTTAAAAATATTAAAAGAGAGCCGCTTAAGTACTATATATTTTTTATGATTTATTAAACCTTACCTTATGATTCAGAAAGCAAAGTCAGCCACACACCATATAAACCAGGCACACACCATTAATCCCAGGATTCAGGATTAAGAGGTAGCTGGATCTCTGTTACTTCAAGGCCACACTGAGCTACATGAAATTGATGAGTCCTACAGAGAAACAGCTCACACAAACATGATCTCAGTAATTGGGATCACCCACCTTTAATCCCAGGACTCATGAGAGGTGTATAAGACAGGAGTAACATCTCAGCACTGGCATTCATTCTCCAGCCACATTGAGAATAGGAAGACATTGAAGTCTCAGGATTCTCCAGCCATTCTGAGGAGAGGAGTCAGTCTAAGGTTTGGTGCAGCCAAGATTGCCTTTCAATATGAGGTAGGGCAAGAGCTAGTCACCAGCTGCTTTGATTTTCTGATCTTCAGATTGAAGTTTGAACCCAAATATCAGTCTCTGGGTCTTTTATCTTTCGTGCTACACTGTCTCAGGACTAATTTCATCTCAAAATGTTTGCAAATTTTACAAACTCTATAGGGGCAAGCAAAAGCCAAGGTAATTCTTCTACCTCATAAGCTATAGTTTGGGGAGGCATTACTATTCACCTACATTTTCACATTGAACAATTTATTCCCGATTTCACGTATACAGAAAGAAGTATTGTAGCACAGGGACCTCAGAATGTTGCATCCTATACAGTGTCCCTAATGTGTCCTCATTTGAATGAATCATCTCAATTTTATTTCTCTTTATAGCTGGGACACTCCTTTTGCTGGCAATGTCAAACCTGCTCCTTTGGGAACATGTGACCTCCTCACCAAATCCTCGTTTGTCCACTGGAAGCTTATATCACCGTGTGGTTCAATTGTCACACTACACCCATGATCTTGCCTCAAAACTCTTCAGTGAATTTGTAAGTACTGCACCTTTTTCTGTAGGGACAATCAGAAAACTCAACTAATTAAACAATAACATACTTTGAAGCAAATTTCAAATACAATATATTTAATAGTGAAATACAGACATTGAAACATGGGCAAGGAACAATTGGATGATTCATGAAATCTTAAACTTGTGAAAGATGTAGTAACTGTACAAGTTTTAACAATGGTTTTTCAACAAACTTGTTTAGATATAAAGTCCAAAATACATGGATCAAGTTACTGTGAACTCTTGCCTTTTGTGAAGGGGTCCTATCTATGTGGGCATTTTTATTTAGCACTCTGTAGATATCTGGTGTAGGAGAATTGTCTTGTAATGAACTGTGTGAGTAGATTAAAATGAAACTACAGAAAACCATGTTCAGCAGAAATAGCTACTCAAAGCACTCCCATGTCCTTAGTATTGTTTTCAAATTTCCAGGGATGAGTGTGTCTTTGCAAACTGCATGATGGTTTTCAAAAGAAATATCATCTCTATTCTTAATGGATATACCAGATTTAGTTAGAGGGAGTCAATACTAGAAAAAAGAAGTCAGTACAAAATTAGAATAAGGAGCATATATTTCCAGAGTTGTGGTGAATATATCTTTACCTGGCTATTTTCACTCACTAGTGTTTCTTTCATTCTGAAATCTTCATACATAATTTTTCAATTGTTCAAATATTCCTAGAAATCCATTAAACTTTTAAAAATTTAGATTTCCAGTAGTAAATATATACACTTCACATAATAAATTCCTTAAGTAAATAGAATCTTGAATTGACTAAATATATATATATATATATATATATATATATATATAATGTTTTAATTCTCCTTTCACTAACTGTATGACTGATTTTGACATCATTAATGAGATTCCATCCTACCTATATGATTTAATGGTGTACTTAAAGGAAATACTTATTTATAAAATCAGCTTAAAGGAAATAGACTACTGAGTGTCAATGGGACCCTAACTATGAACATACATGTGTATGACACTCACAAATAAAAAAAGTGCTTAAACCCTCAGTGTTTTTACAGTATGTGTGTTACTCAATGCTTTGTTTCTAAACAATACCATTTAGAAAGGGAAAAACCACAAAACAGTAATAAATAGGGGGAGAATATTGATGAGTTAAACTTAGATTGTTTCTCCTAGGAACAGAAAATGTAGGCAGGCAGTCTACACTTCATTCCTCTGTTTCAATTTCGATATATTTATCATTTACTAAAACATACATCCATAAAATATGTTACTGGTGTGATTATAAATATATTTGTTCAGTGTTTAACATTAAGAAATCAGACCTTTCAATGTCTTCCAGAATATAAAGTTTGGCAGGACTGTTTGGAGACCAAGCCTGATGCTATGCACCTGCCACACTTCCTCTATTCCTACTCCAGAAAACAGAGAGCAAGTCCACCAAACAACAGTAGGTTTCTTCCCTGATTTTGACAAAAACAATTGATGTAATACACAGGGTAGTTCTGCTGTGTGTGCTTACTAGGGCAATAGCACCTGTGGTAATCTTAGAGCCAAGAGAAGGGAAGAAGTAACAAACAAACAATGATATCATATGGTTGATAATTTCTCTCTAAGATAAAAGCTTCTTCACATGACAGCAGATTAGTAAATTGATCTTCCAGAGCACCATGTTTTAACAACTTAATGTCTGTAGCATTATCCTTAATATTATCTGGGAAGCTTTAATATGAGTTGGACATTCCTAGATGACTATACATTTATGTGCTTGCAAGAATTACAGATATAATGGTATTTATGGTATAATACCAAACTCTCCTCTACAGAAATGTTACTTAAAGACCAATGATTCATTTACTTTTAGTTTGTGAAGATTCTTTACATCCTACTTTGTTTTTTAAAATAATTTATGAAGACTTCCTCCACAACTACTCAGCCTTCTCTTGTATTTCAAGTAAAAATTAAGTGAAAAAAGAGGTTCCTCTACACATTTTATCTTATTCCTGATGATAACCTATGCTATAATAAAGACAGAATACCTCAGCACCTATGATTTATAATTGTGTTAACATATTCAGTCTCCGTCTTTGTCATAAAATTTCTGAATATTATTTACAAAAATGTCATGTGTACACATCTCACACAAATAATCTATTTCCACTAGTTGTGTATATTACCAGAACTAGTAACCTATACACAAACTCTTCTCATAAATAAAGTGTGAGTATAATAATGGCAATTAAAGGATGAATGGGTATAGAAAGCAGTCAGCATTACTCAGATCTACTTATTGTGAAGCCCTAAAAACAGTCCATTGTTACTGATTCATTTAATCATTACAAAAATTCTCTAATATGTGGCATTATTAGGACGATAAAGTACTGAGGTTCTTCTAGACTACAGATGGTAGAAAGTACAGTGAAACAAAACATGATCAGTTTGACATTAACCAGAAATCACTGTTAAGGAAAATCAATTCTATCTGAGAAAATGGTAAATCTGTGACAGAATATTGTTATTTCTATATTGCATATCACATGCTGGAAGATTTTCTATATTCCTATTAATGATAAATCGATACTGGAACTCATGAGCATCTTTCAGCCACTACATGTATTAAATCTGATGTGTTTCACTTATTTTAATGAGATGTTCTTCATGATTGTTTAGTCAGAAGATCTCCTGAAGGTGACCATGCGTGTTTTACAAGCCTGGGAGGAGCCTATGAAGCACATGGTGGCTGCAGTGGTGGCCCTTCCAGATGCATCTTATTTTATGCTGTCAAAAACAAAAGAGTTGCAAGGAAGAGTTCAAGGCCTTCTGGAGGGACTAAAGATCATACTCAACAGGGTAAGCCCATTTACTCTTCACATTCTTTTGCTTATCTCCTGTGTGAAAGAGGTGATTTGTTTGATTTATTTCATGAGAGATAAATATTTCAATACTTCATTTCTGAGACTGAAATATATACACAGAATTTTATATATGTGTGTGTTTTTATGTACATGTAAGTTATATACAGGCACACACACACACACACACATATATATGTATATATGTATATATGTATGTATAAATTATATATGCATGTATAGGTATATAATTCATATCCAATTCATTCACAGCCTTGTCAATAAAGAGAGGCCATTTATAAATCCTATCTTTTTCATGTTTTTTTACTGAGAACTACACATACCTGTACTCTCAATAGAAAATATCCGGTCTGCATAGTAACACAGAAGGTAGCTTTCAGTGGTGTATGGATATGAATGACTAATTCAGAAAATCTGGTAACAGCCTTGGAACTCCAAAAACCTTACTGTAATTTTGAAGATATTTGATATGCTCATGAATTTGGAAGAATACATTATAGAAAAATTAGATTGATTTTAAAGATAGGAAATTAAAAGATCATTCTCCTCAAACCCATAAGTATGAATGATGTCTGAGAGAATAAGCTGAGAAACATGAGCCCTTATATTGTCCTTTGGTCAAATGTATGTATACCACGAAAAATATCTTCCAGTTTCTCAATCACTCTGTCTAATTACACATGGGTATACCTCTTCTTGGACCAATGATACAACAGAAAATATGCTTATGTCAAGAGGCTTAATGCCTTCAAGGTAATATATGACAAACCTACTCTATATTAATAAATTTTCCTTAAAGTGTAATCCAACTTTTGTCACTTTTACAGAATGAGGCTACAGAAAGACTCAGGGGATAAATGCCTTCTTGGGCATAAGGAATTTGATCCCAGAATCCCCATAAAATTAAAGAGATGTAGTGACTACTCTGTAGTATTCAAACATTAGGCAGACAAAAAGATGGAGATCACTGGTAAGTGTTTGCTAAAATAAGAGAAGATACCTCAAAAACAATAGAGAAATATGGTAGTCAACTGTGTATGCTTAAACAACATTCACTCTGATCTCCAAATTCTGGTGCATTAATTCTGCAAATGTATACCCCATCCAGAGAGAGAGAGAGAGAGAGAGAGAGAGAGAGAGAGAGAGAGAGAGAGAGAGAGACACTCATCTATACATATGTAAACACACACACACATATATAATTGTATTACTACCAAGAAATACTAACAGTGTAAATAATCCCTCTCATTTACATGTTTAGATTCAGCCTGGAGCCGTTGAAGATGACATTACTGTCTGGTCTGGATGGTCAGATTTGCAGTCATCTGATGAAGATACTCGTAACATTGCTCTTTATACCCTAAGCCGCTGCCTGCGCAGGGATACACACAAAGTTGACAATTATCTCAAGGTTTTGAAGTGCCGAGATGTCCATGACAACAGCTGCTGAGCTCAAATCCTTGTTCACTGTCATGGAAGAAGGTCCTTGATAATCCAGGCCTTCAAAGTTCCATTGAATCTCTATGTTTGGTGCATTCCTAGGATTAATGGGAATGTTATTAAAAAATAAACATTGATTCTTTGAAAGTGTTAAATTCAAAATGAGGGTTTGCCAATTTTTCATGGGCATTTAATGCAGAATTTAGTAATAATATCAAATATTTTTCATGAGTAATTTTAGTTTACAAAAGCCAAAAGAGTACTTCTATTGGTCAGAATGAATAGATGACTTGACATAGTAGAACAAGTACAAGAATTTCCCAGTAATCAGTAGATCCATTCTGACATGAAGATATAAGTTTATGAAAACAAACCATGGGCAATGAACACTTTCTCAAAGCCTCATCACAGGCAATACAATTGTTATATTAACATTAAACACATTACACACACACACACACACACACACACACACACACACACACACACTATATATGGAGATTATAATATATTACATTTCTCCCTTTCTTATCCTCCCTCTAAGCTCTGTGTACTCTTTTATTGCTTTCTTTCAAATTCATGGCCTCTTTCCTTCATTTGTTGTTATTACAGTTGCATATATATATTCTTAAATATAACCCACTTGGTCTGTATAGTTTTACTTGAGTTCAAGCATTTCCAGTATTGAACATTTTTCTAACCCTTAGCATTATTAGTTGCCTGTCATTCTTAGTATAAGGTTGAGACTTTTCTAAACATTCTACATCTTGTCAGGGAACATGCATGTTACATGAGTCATTACCTATAGCAAAAACCATGGAACTTCTGCTACACCAAAAAATAATTCACTAACACAGACCATGCATGAAAGACAGCTGCATCATTGTGCTGCTCACTCAGTTACATGCATGGCTACCCTTAGTCAAAACCACACATTCACTGTTCCCCAACTCATTTTTGGTTGGAGGGTTCCCATTTAGGTTACTATCTGTTGTGAGATAAGGGATTCCTTGGGAGACACTACACACATACATATCCACTCTTCCCACTCTTCCCAGATAGAGATTCCTTGACAGATCAAATTACAGATATTGCCTAAGTTCACCTTGGTGAATCAATGAAGTTTATTGTGGTTTTACAAGAATATGGTTGAGAGAGAGGTACAAGAGTAGAAATGCCCCAAAGACAGATGACTCACCCAGTTGCACCCTGACATATGTGACAACTAATGAAAGATGAAGACCAGGAGCACACTACACAGCCAGCACACAACTCAACAGGAAATACTCTGACCTTTCTAGGAGGTTCATCAGTCTGATCATTTTCTGGATAGCTCAGTTGGTCTTTACTTTTTCCATGCTATTTAGATAGTCTTTGCTAATTATAGGCTCTTTGGCTCCTTCTTGCTTCCTCCAGGCTGCGCCCAAGCTCTCTATCTCATCTGTGCTGCTCGACTCACCTTAGATTGATTCTTAGCAATAATTACTGCATGTATACATTTGAGAATGGAGAGGCCTAATGAATCTCTTCAGTTTCACGGATTTCTGAAGCTATTTTGAGGAGTTTGCATCCAGTCCTAAGAGAACTTTGTTGTCTAATGTAGTGTTTTATCTCCCCATAGACATGTTGTTTTACTTGTCGGTATATGGCCTAAATTAAATTCACTTACATTTTCTTCCTACTTAAGAATTTTTCTTCCAAGATGGTAGACTTTAACAAATTCATACCACTGAATTGCATTGTCAAAATGTATCCAATTTCAGATAAGAAAAGAAAATTAGTTGGTCATGTTATATAAATTTGTGTAAAATTTTGATTCAAAGTGATAAGATTGCCTACATTCAAAAAGAATATATAAGTATTTCCTAGCCTTCCTTTTGTTCATAGATGATAAAAATTTTCTTGAGTCTGGTCAAATCCAGCTGCTCAGACTCTTACTCATATTCACTGAAGCAGATTTATAACTTCATAGCAAACATGAAACAAAAGGCAAAGCTTCCATAATTTTAACTTTTGGAGAATATCAGGTATAAACTTAATGTCTTTTCATCAAATATGGTCCCATCCCTATCTTCCATTGGCTTTTCTATTTAAAATTTTAATTAGAAAGAAAATCATTTTACATGTCAATCCCAGTTCCCTTACCCTTAACTTCTTGCCTGTCCTGGCAACTAACATCCTACCTATCCCATACTGTTTCTGCTCCCAAAGGAGTGTGAGGCCTTCCATGGGGGGTCTTCTAAGTCTGTCTTATTCTTTGGGATTGGGCCTAGGCCAAGCCCCTTGTGTCTAGGCTCAGATAGTATCCCTCCATATGGGATGGGCTCCCAAAGCCCATTTCTATCATAGGGGTAAGTAACTGATCCACTACAAGGGGACACTTAGATTTCCAAAGTCTCCTCATTGACACCCACATTCAGGGGGTCTGGATCAGTCCCATGCTGGTTTCCCAGCTATCAGTCTGGCACCCAAGATCTCTCCTTTGTTCATGTAAGCTGTTTCTGTGGGTTTCACCAGCCTGGTGTGTATCCCTTTGCTCCTCAGTCCTCTTTCTCTATGACTGGATTCCAGTTCAGTTCAAGGTTTAGCTGTGGGTGTCTGCTTCTACTTCCACCAGCTGTTGGATGAAGGCTATAGGATGTCATATGAATTAGTCATCAATCGCATTATCAGGAGAGGGCATTTAAGGCAGCCTCTCCTCTGTTGCTTAGATTGTTAGTTGGTGTCATCTTTGTAGCTCTCCAGACATTTCCCTAGTGCCTGATTTCTCTTTAAATCTATAATGTGTCCCTCTATTATATTATTTCTTATCTTGCTCTCTTCTGTTCTTCCCCCAACTCAACCTCCCTGTTCCATCATGTCTTCCTCACACCTTCTCTTCTCCCCTTCTCACTCTCCTAGTTCCCTCTCCCCTCCCCCCATGCTCCCAATTTGCTCAGGAGATCTTGTCCCTTTTTGCTTCTCCAAAGGACCATGCATGTCTCTCTTAGGGTCCTCCTTGTTTACTAGCTTCTCTGGCAGTGTGGATTGTAGGCTGGTAATCCTTTACTCTATGTCTAAAATCCACATATGAGTGAGTACATACCATGTTTTTCTTTTTGTGACTGGGTTACCTCACTCAGAATAGTTTCTTCTAGTTGCATCCATTTGCCTGCAAATTTCAAGTTTCCATCATTTTTTTCCGGCTGAGTTGTACTCTATTGTGTAAATGTACCACTTTTTCTCTACCCATTCTTCAGTTGAGGAGCATCTAGGTTGTTCCCAGGTTCTGGCTATTACAAATAATGCTTCAATGAACATCATTGAACAGATGTCCTTGTATGAATTTCTTCTTTTGGGTGTATGCCTAAGAGTGGAATTGCTGGATCTTGTGGTAGACTGATTCCTATTTTCCTGAGAAATCGTCATACAGATTTCCAAAGTGGCTGTACTCGTTGGCACTCCCACCAGCAGTAGAGGAGTGTTCCCCTTTCTCCATATCCTCTCCAGCATAAACTGTCATTGGTGTTTTTGATTTTTGCCATTCTGACAGGTGTGAGTTGGTATCTCAGAATTGTTTTGATTTGCATTTCCCTGATGGCTAAGGATGTTGATCACTTTCTTATGTGTCTTTCAGCCATTTTAGATTCCTCTATTGATAATTGTCTATTTAGTTCTGTACCCCACTTTTTAATTGGACTATTTGGTGTTTTGGAGACTAGCTTCTCGAGTTCTTTGTAAAATTTGGAGATCAGCCCTCTGTCGGATGTGGGGTTGGTGAATATCTTTTCCAAATCAGTGGGCTGTCGTTTTTGTCTTGTTGACTGTGTCCTTTCCCTTACAGAAGCTTCTCAGTTTCAAGAGGTCCCATTTATTAATTGTTGATCTCAGTGTCTGTGCTACTGGTGTTATGTTCAGGAAGTGGTCTCCTATACAAATTTGTTCAAGGGTATTTCCTACTTTCTCTTCTAATAAGTTCAGTGTGGCTGGGTTTATGTTGAGGACTTTGATCCATTTGGGCTTAAGTTTTGTGCATGGCAGTATCTTCAGTCTTCTACATGCTAGCATCCAGTTATGCCAGCACCATTTGTTGAAGATGCTTTCTTTATTCCATGGTATAAATTCAGCTTCCTTGTCAAAAATCAAGTATTTGTATGAGTGTGGCTTAATATTGGGGTTTTAACTCTATTCCATTGGATTACCTGTCTATTTTTCTGCCAAGACCAAGCTGTTTTCAGGACTATAGCTTTATAATAGAGCTTGAAATCAGGCATTGTGATGCCTCCAGAAGTTCTGTTATTGTACACATTTTTTTTGGCTATTCTGGGTATTTTGTTTTTCCATATAAAGTTGAGAATTGTTTTTTCCAAGGTCTGTGAAGAATTGTGCTGGTATTTTGATGGGAATTGTGTTGAATCTGTAGCTGGCTTTTGGCAAGATTGCCATTTTTACTATATTCATCCTATCTATCCAAGAACATGGGAGATCCTTCCATTTTATTTTATCTTCTTTAATTTCTTTCTTTAAAGACTCAAAATCCTTATGATACAGGTCTTTCACTTTTTTGGTTAGCATTACCCCAAGGGATTTTATTGCAATTTTGTAGCAATTGTAAAGGGTGATGTTTCTCTGATTTCTTTCTCAGCACATCTATCATCCATATATAGTAGTGCTACTGATTTTTTAGTTAATCTTGTATTCTGCCACTTTGCTGAAGGTATTTATCAGCTGTAGGTGTTGCCTAGTAGAGTTTTTTGGGTCACTTATGTAGAGTATCATATCATCTGCAAATAGTGAAAGTTTGACTAATCCTTTCTGATTTGTATTCCTTTGATTTCCTTTTGTTGTCTAATTGGTCTAGCAGAACTTTAAGGACAATATTGAAGAATATGGCTTTCTTCCCAACTACTACTTTCCTCTATGTGCATGTGCCATGTTAGTTGTCTGAGTTCCATGAATGCTATTTGTATATGGCAGGTGAAGAGGATTATCTACTAGAGCATGGATAGCAACTCAGGTGCTGCATCATTGATGAAAGTTCATTGCCTCTCACTTAAACTAATTTAATTGCAATGCTGCCTCAGTTCAGTGTGGGTTTCATGGCTCTATGCCCATTCACATTGGATTTTACATTGCTTGTATTTGTGCAGGTCTTATACATGCCGGCTAAACAGCTGTGAATTCATAAATTCAATAACCCCAACAAGTCCAGGAAATAATGACTCTCTGCAGTTGTCGACTGCCTCTGCCAGTCAATCATTTGAGCCCCTTTTTTTCTGTAGATTCCTGACCTTTGTGTGTAGATTATTTAACACAGGTGATCCATTTAGTCTCAATAACCCTCACTCTTTCATACTCTGCACATTAATCAATTGTTGATTTTGTATGAATCACCATAAACTGGAAAAAGAAGCTCTCTAATGAGGGGTGAGACAAGCTCTAATTTGTCACAATAACTATAATAACTGACACTGCCTTAGTATTTCAAGATAGCAGTATATTACTATTATATTCTCCTCTGGGATCTACAACATCACCAGCATCAGTTTTATGGTGTGGTTAATGGAACCTGGCATGAGTTCCATACTATGGAGAAGCAAATATTCCACCATAAGGTTACTGCTTAACACTCCGAACACTATTGAAATGATGGATATGATTCATATTTGGAGATTCTTGATGTCTTTTATCTCTAGTGGTCAATCAAAGATTCCAACAATATGAAAACTATCCAATAAAAATGTTCATTCTATGTTGATACAAGATTTATTTCTCCAGATTCTATGTATCAACAATATGGTGCTAGCTAACCCTCTTTTAACCTCAAGCTCAAGTCTGGGTGAGAGGCCCTATCTTATGAAACATTCAGGGGACTGTGTGTGTGTGTGTGTGTGTGTGTGTGTGTGTTTCTATTACATCTAGTGGAAACATGTACATATATACACATACATGAGTACAAACATATATATACATCAGAAATGTAAAAGCGACAAAATGTTACCATTTTACTGTTAACTTAACTCAGTGAAGAGTGTACTCCAGTCATTATACAGATCTTAAACAGTTGAGGGTTTTATTGTGAGATCTATTTCTGGGGAACATAAAAAAATAAAACAAGAACAACAAAAAATGCACTATTCACTCCAGACTCAGATTCTGTGGCAGACCAAAGAAATCACACCAACAAATTCAAATTGGTGAAGCATTCAATTTGTTGGGGTCACTTACAGGAACAAAGATTTATTTACATGCCCAAAATATCTTAAAGATAGCTACAAGGCTGGGCAGTGGTGGCGCATGCCTTTAGTCCCAGCACTTGGGAGGCAGAGGCAGGCAGATCTCTGTGAGTTCAAGGCCAGCCTGGTCTCCAGAGCGAGTGTCAGTATAGGCTCCAAAGCTACACAGAGAAACCCTGTCTCAAAAAACAAACAAAAAATAAATAGCTACATAACCAATAGCACACCTTAGTATGGATAAGAGTTCACAAAACCTGGAACCCTAAAGAACAGTATAAAACTTGAACAGAGCTCAACAAGTTAGATCCCTTATTGGTCTCAGCCTGTTCCAGACAGCAATTGGCCTCTGAGGCTTCAGTGCAGCATGTGTGTTCTCTCTTTATTTCTTTTTCAAGCCGATAAGCTCAGGTCAGCTTCTTCCAGATATTAGATGGTCTCTGCTTCTTCCACATAATACAACAAGTTGGAGAATGTCTCTCAACATTCTTACAGTTCATACACTTGTGGGATTAAATAGACCTAATTAATTTAGTCAAGTGCAAGTACTCTTAGGTATTTTCCTCCCCAGGAGCATGATGGAATATTTTTTCCCTTAGAAGTCCTGTGTTTTACCATCTCCCCTTTCAACAACTGACAACCATGAGAAGCTTCCCTCCAAGTAGGAAGCCCTAATCTCAGAGGAAAATGTTGCAACAAAGGGTTCAATTCCTAGCTTCTATAAAAGTAAACTTATCTCAGATGAGGCCACAAGGTTCTGACACAACAAATGAGGAGACCAAGCTAAAGCCAAACACAATCACAATTAGATCAGAGAGGATATTTAGAATCCAAATGGTAAGTGCTCCATCATAAAACCTGAGTTTTCTTGTCAATCCTCTGCTTAAGCAATGGCTCAACAGACTATGGAATGTATATATACTACAAATTATCACAAAGAGAACACAATAAATTAAAAGCAACACTAAAGTACTTCCTACAACTGTGAAAAACATGAAATTCAACAATCAGTATTCTTCATATGACCACCAGCAGGCTAAGAGGGTAAATCTTTGGATAAACTGCTTTCCTGTCATCAGGTAGACATAACTTTAATATTTAAAACTGAAGTACAGACAGATGCCTGCCATGATATAATGCTTCTTGTACATGGCTAAATTCAGTTGGAATAGCTTCAGGAAAAAGTATCAAAAAGTTGATTCAATTTCTGACTCTTGGAAGTTAACTAAATAGTGGCCTAGTGTAGAGGGTAAATTTCTTTCTTACTAGTATTTGAAAAACTGCTCAAAGGAGAACCCTACTCTAAACAAAGTGTCAGTTGCACACAAGATTTAAATGAGTAAACTCTGTCAGTTATGAGACTGCATTTCTTGGTTTAGTGGCTGAACAATACTGGCTTATAAATACCTCAAATATCCAAAGCATAGAATGGTTTATTTAGTGTCAGTAAGAACTTTACAGTCAATAGAGGTTTATTATCAACAAGTGTTTTTAACTCAGCTATATGGTAAAAACCTAGTAATGTATCTACACTGTTATTACACTGGCAATGAGTTATGTTTACAAGAAACAATGTACTGAAATGATGTAAAACTAACAATATAGGAGGCAATTCATGTGATACATTGTAAGATATTGCAAAAGCATATCTCTGAGAAAGTCGTGGACATCCTCTATGTAAGTAGCATAGCCTTTTTAAAGTGCGTATTATATGGCTATCAAAATTCCTTTAAAACAATTGTACTTCTGCCTACTTAATACCAGAGCAGTATCTACTTTTTGAAAAGTAACTTTTTCTAGTTGGCTGGCAACAGACAGAAATCCATGTTTTGATAAATGTTAATAATTGACTGTTACTATAACATTTCAGCCCAAAGCTAAATAAGAGCTGATGGAGGGCTTTTGTCACCACCTGAAACACTACTAGAACTTAAAGATGACATGACAGAAAGAATATAGACATCTGAACTAGAGTAAAGGTATAAGGAAATAAATGTATTTCCTTACTTGACCAGACTCTAGTCATTATTGAACTGAGATGACTTTTGTGATTTCCAAAATAGTCTGAACCCTGGATGTTGTTGCAAAAAGCAAAGCAATATATGTGGAGATAGACAGTGTCAAGAGCAAGGTATATTTTCTATTTCCTTACGGGAGATAATCATGGAACTTTTCCATGGACAAAAACATTACTTCCCTCTGCCTGCTAACCTTCATTACATTGGGAAGATTATGTTAGTATAAATGGAATGCGCTAATTTGAGGGAAGACAGCTTTCAGATACATCAGCATTCTTGTCTTGTAGTCCACACTGCAGAAGAACTTCTCAGAAATGCAGCTGTCTTTGACTCTGCCATGCTTCTGTAAGTAGCACTTCATTCATACTCTAAGTTCATTAGTGTGTTATTTCACAATGATGGTTTGGATAGAATATAGTCTTTGTTCTTATTTGTATATGGAAACCTGTTGCTTTTCATGACTCACCAGAATGCAACAAATATTGATCTGAGTTTTAATATTGTTACAGTTGCTGAATTAATCTTGAGATCAATGATTCTCAAGAGGAATCCCCCTTCTCTCAGGAAACATGCAAATGCAATGTACATAGAAATTTTGAAATTGTTTACTATTTTAATTTTTTGACAAGAGGACAAAACGGACACTATTATGTGTTTCTAATGGACACATGCTTGTAACCAACTTTCAGGCTTAGGACTTCTCACAGAAAAAGAAACAAGACAAAAAAAGCCTTGTTACTGAAATTGAGAAGTTGAATTTTATTGAAAACATATGATTCAATAGTGTCAGTCAGAGAAGGAGAAAATAACATTATGGGATGTGAGGGCTTAGATATTTCTCTGCTTTCATAAATTCACCTAAGGAGGATATAGGCTCTAGAACCTTTGACAATGACAGTCGATTTGTAACTTTACCAATTTGGTCCAAGCAATGAAGGGCAAATGAAAAATAGGCATGTTTTAACAAGTCATCTTAAGTTTCAAGTATTATTTACAAGAAAAATGAATTAATAGATTAATTAAAATTTATTTTAAAATGAAGTAAAAAATGAACATGAATTCCCAGTCATTTAAAATATATAGAGAATGGCTTGAATTCTTTGACTCAGGATTAATCTCAGCTAAAATGTTTACAAAGTTGAGACACTCTGATGAGGCAAGCCAAAGCTGAGAGAATTCTCCTACTTCTCAATCTGTGAATGGGAGAAACATCACTTGTCACCTATGTTTTCTCATTGGGCTAAATTATTTCAGACTCCTTCTGCACAGAACCAAGTATTATAGCACAGGAAACGCTGAACAGACAGTGTATCCTACACAATGTCACTAATGTTACTTCATTTGAATAGGTCATCTCAGTATCACTTCTCTTTAGAGCTGGAACACTCCTTATGTTGGCAGTATCAACCTATTCTTTTGGCAGCATGTGACTTCACCACCAAACCCCCAGATGCCCACTGGAAGCCTATACCAACCTGTGGTTGAACTCTCACACTACACCCATGATCTTGCTTCAAAAGTGTTTATCGAATTTGTAGGTAGTGCACTTCCTTCGGGTTTCTATTTAGGAAGGGGCAATCAGAAAATCCTACTTCTAAAACAGAACCCATCATGAATCAAATTTTAATTGCAAAATTTTAATAAGTAAAAAATGAACATGATAACATGGAATGGGTAGATTGGGAAGTTTCATGAAACTTTAGGACTTTTAAAGAAAGCAGTGTAGATGTTCAAGTTTTATTAATGAACTTTATAAAAAATAAAGCAACATATTTTGATATGAAGTCCAAAAAGCATTGATTGGATACACTGTGCAATCCTGTCCTTCATGAAGGGGTACTGTCGATATTGGCATTCTCATTTAGCAGTCTGTAGAAACCTGTTGTTGCAGATTTATTTTGTAATAAATTGTGAAGTAGGGTAAAATTAAACTATGGAAAGCCATATTAAGATTAAAGAAATAGCTACTCTGAGATGCACCAATGCTGAGAACTGAATTGTTGTTCTTAATTTCCCAGAGATGAATGCATTATTTACCTGGATGACAGGTTTAAAACAAAAATTTCTTCCCTATTTCTAGTGGATATACTTGATTGGGTTAGGACCAATCAACGAAGAAATACCCAATAAAATCTCAGTGCAAAACTGAAAATATGAAGCATATGCCTTGAGACTTGCAATGAATAAATTCCTCCCTTGCCATTCTCACTCAGGTTCTTTCACTCTGTATTCAACATTAACAGTCTTTCAACTGTACACTCTTTCTAGGAATCCATTGCACTTCTACACATTTACTGATTGCCAGTACTAAAAGTATTCATTTAAAAAATTAATTCCTTCACTAAATAAAATCTAATATTGCAGTGGTTCTCAACCTTTGGGATTCTAACAACACTTTCAAAGAGGTATCAGATCAGATACTGTGCATACAGGTATTTGCATGATGATACATAACAGTAGCAAAACTAGAGTTATGAAATAGCAACAAAAATAATTTCATTCCAGAATCACCACAACATGAGGAACTATATTAAAATATCACAGCATTAGGGAGGTTGACAACTACTGTTATAGAGACTAATGTATAAATATTAAATAAAACTTTTAAAAATATTCCTTCATTGATAAATTTTGACAGCATTAATGATTACATCCTACTTTCATCGTACACTTCAGTATTTAAAAGTAAATATTTAATTTAGCAATGGCTAGTTAAAAAGAATTATATATTTTTTGTGCCTGCAGGACCAGATAATTTTAAATATGGATGGATATGCCTGAATTATTTTATAGCACTCACTTCAAATTTACAAAAAAGTGATATTTAAACCATAAGTTTTAGAGTATTTTTGTTAGTGCTTTATTTTAGAACAACATGGCTAACAACAAGAGAATACTAGACAAGGGAAGAGTATTAGAAGGTAGAAAGTTCAATTGGTTATCCAGCAGGCACAAAGTGTAGACAACAGTGTTTGCTTCATCCATTTGTTCTCATTTCTATACAGTTATCGTTTGTTAAAATAATTTACATCTACAAAATTTATTACTGATGTGGTTATAACTGTATCCATTCAATATGTATCCCATAGAAAGAAACCTTTTCATTTCTTCTAGAATATGAAGTTTGGCAGGAGACAGAACCTGATGTTAAGCACCTGCCACACTGCCTCTATCTTTACTCCAGAAAACAATGAACAAGTCCACCAGACAAAAGTAGGTTTCCTCCTGGTTGTCACAAAAACAATTGGTTACTGGGGCCATAGCAAGTGTAATAATCAGAGATGAGAGAGGGGAAGAAGAATCAAAAATCATAATATATGGTTGATGATTTCACACTAAGACAAATGCTTGTTCATATGATAGCAGGTTAATAAACTGGCCATTCAGAGAACCATGTTTTTATAACACATTTCCTGTGGGGTTATTCTTAATATATCTTGTAAGATGTAATATGACTTGGACTTTCCTGGTTGACTATACATTTATATATGCATAGAAAAGTTTCAGATGCAGTAGTGTTTATGGAATAATAATACTAATAATACTACTACTAATAATAATAATAATAATATCATTTCCTCTGGAAGCATATTACTTAATGACGATGATTCATTTCTTTTTCCTTTGAGAGACTCTCCTAGCTGTACTTCTGTTTCTTCATTGTTTGTGAAGACCTCCACAACTACTCACTTTCCTCATGTATCTCAAGTGCATATGAGCTGAAATGGGGGTTTCTCTGCAAAATTTATATTACTCTTGATGATAACCTTTGATAAGATGAAAATTGAGTATCTTAGTACCTATAACATATAACTGTTATAACATCTTTCCTCCTTGTCTTTGTGATAATCTGAAAATAATTTATACTAAACTTTGAAGGTGTGCATGTCTCATACATATAGTATATTTCCCCTTCATGTCCATTACAGGTACCAGAAATCTCAACACAAACTCAGGAATAAGTGTGAGTATAATAATAGTAAATGAAGGAAGAGGGGATACAGGAATAGGTGAACATTTGTTCATATCTACTTGTCTAGAATCCTTAAAAAGCAGTCCATTGACATTGATTAATTTAATCCCAAGCAAAAATTCCCTAATACACGGTATTATTAGGACCATAAAAAACTGAGGGTTCAAAGCTTATATAGAAGTTGCATCACATGAATCCTAAGTAGAATATGAATCCAAGATTTATTCAATTCAAACATTCAATCATAATCCCTAGGTGGCAAAGATTCAGGCAATGGATTTTGCTGTCAATTTTGGCCCACATTTTTCCTTCACATGCTTTATGTGTCTCCTGTAAAAGGTCCATGAGATTCCCTTAGTCTTCATTTTTATTTCATTACCAGGACAGTAGCAAACAGAAATGGCATCATTATATTTGTAAGTTTTTCTGGCAATGAGCACACACTTAAAAGTTCAACCTTCTTTGTTGGGATTAGATATAACACTGAGCTATTGTTCTTCTCCAGTATATAAGAAAAAATGGGATGCTCTGCTAGAAGCAAGGAGAAGTCATCTATACCAAGGGGATTATAATTCTCAATGTCTTCTTTCTTTCCTTGTATTTCTATTTTAATATTCTACAATGATAGAACACATGTACATATATGAATGAGCAATTGTCTCATGGGTGTGAAAATTCTGATCACTGATCTTAGACTGTGGCGACATCTTTTTTATATTAGTAAAGTCCTACAGACACTTCTAGTGTTCATGCAAACTTTGGTTTTCCATGGACAGTTAATCACGTAAACTAACTTCATCTTTACTACCGACAGTAGAATGTACAGTGAAAACATGACCAGTTTGATATTCACCAGAAATCAAGGTTAAGGAAAACAATGATTCTATTTGGAAAAAATGTAATTCTGTGACAGAATATTGTTATTCCTATATTGAGAAGAAGGTTTCCTACATTCTTATTAAAAATTAATCAATACTGGAGCTCATGAGCTTATTTCAGCCATCACATGTATCAACCCTGATGTGCTTCAATCATTTTAATAGGATATTCTTCATGATTATTTAGTCAGAAGATCTCTTGAAAATGACAATCAGTGTTCTACAAGCCTGGGAGGTGCCTCCAAAGCACATGGTGGCTGCAGTGGCTGTACTTCCAGATGCATCTGATGTTATTCAGTCAAGAACAAAAGAGTTGGAGGAAAGAGTTCTAGGCCTTCTGGAGGGACTGAAGACAATACTCAACAGGGTAAGCCCACTCACTCTTCACATTCTTTTTTATCTCCTGTGTGAAAGAGGTGATTTGTTTGATGAGATGTGAATTTTCAGCACTTCGTTTCTGAGATATATTATGTACACACACACACTCTCTCTCTCTCTCTCTCTCTCTCTATATATATATATTGTATCCTTGCCTGTAAGGAGAGGTCACTTATAAATCCTGTCTTCTTCAGGTTCTTCAGGTTCTTTACTTCTGACTAACTCAAAAATTATATAATGGTCCTGCCTGGAACTCTGAAACCATAACACACTTATGGAAGTGTTTGATAGTTCCATAGGATATGGAAGATTAAACTATATGAGGAACAGTTTGAGTGTATATAAAGAAGAATAAAAAAATTCTGCCTAAACCCTTAAGTATGAATGATGCCTGAGGAATCTTCGGAGACAGTGTCAGCCCTTTAATGGACCTTTTGTCAAATGCATGTATACCATTCAAATATTTTCCTGATTTTTTTCACTCAGTCTATGCTTGTATGGCTATACCTCTTCTGAAACCAATGACACATAAGAATACATCATATGTATTCCCATATGATGTTTACTTTTAGAGGCCTAATGCCTTCATGATGCTTTAGCCCATATACTTGACAAACCTTCTCTATACTAATAAATTTTCTATCCAGCATAATACAGTTTTAATTAGTTTTACAGAATGAGGCTAATGAAATGGCTAAGTTTATAAATGACTTCCCTGCCAGCAACATATTTAATTCCAGAATCCACATAAAAAGAAAAAAGATGTAGTGACTAGTTCTTGCTATCCAAGAATTAGGAAGGAAGAAAGATGGAGATCACTGGTGATTCTTTCAAAATAAGAGAAGCTGTCTCAAGAGAACAAAAATAGAGAAAGATAGAAGTCAGTGGTGGATGTTTAACCAATGTTGACTTCTAATCTCCTAATGTATGTGCATGCATTCCTGCACATGTTCCCTCCATGCATATACATACTTACACACATATGCAAGAAATTAATGTGAACAAGCAATATTAATAATATAAGTATTCCCATTCTTTTCTGAGTTTAGGTTCACCCTGGAGCTGTTGAAAATGACTATACTTTCTGGTCTGGATGGTCAGATTTGCAGTCATCTGATGGAGCCACTCGCTATTTTGCTCTTAGTAACTTGTACCACTGCTTTCACAAGGATTCACACAAGGTTGACAATTATCTCAAGGTCTTGAAGTGCTGAGGTGTCCATGACAACAATTGCTGAACTCATATCCATGTCTTCTGTCACTGAGAAGGTGCTCAATAATCCAGACCTTCAAAGCTCCATTGAATCTCTATCTCTTTTCTGCAATCCTAGGTTTAATGGGTGTCCAGTTCAAAAACAAGCATTGATCCTTTGGAAATGTTAAAAGGAAAATGAGGATTTGTCAATGTTTCATGGGCATTTAAAGCAGAATTTAGAAATTATATCAGGATATTCATATCAAATATTCTCCACAATTAAGTTAAGTTTACAAATGTCAAAAGAGCACTTATACTAGTCAGAATGAGGTAAGATGACTTAGCATATTAGAACCAGGGAAAGAGTTTCCCAATATTCAGTAAACCCATTTTGCCAAGAAGATGGAAGTTTATGAATACAGACCTGGAGCAATGGCCACTTTCTTGAAGTCTCATCACAGACAATATAATTGTTATACAATTGAAACATCTTTAACACATCACACACACACTTGTAATTACAAAATTTCTCCTTTTTTATTCCTTCTTCCAAGCATCGACATATTCTCATATTCTCTTCATGGCCAACTTTTTTCCTTAATTTTTATCCAGTGTGCATATACATACATACATATCATACATACATGCATGCATCATCACTTGTTGCTGATACATATGTTTCAACACTGGAATTTTGGTATTAGATAGCCAATTGGTGTGTTTTTCCTTAGGGAAGTCTATTTATCTGACCTTCACCATTCCTTAGTTGCCTGTAGCTGTTTTTTAGAGTTGATACCTTTTTTAAAAAATATTCTATAGGCTATTAGGATACATTCATGAGACATCTATGAATTTTTCTAATACCTTTTTAGTCTTAATTCTTTATAAGGACATCTTAGATACTGTACATTTTATGGTTCTGTATTATTATGCATTTAACAACACCTCATGTCATACTGAACCTTTTTAACATCCTGTGTTCATGCTCCAATTATTCATGTCACAAATCAGGGAAGGCAAATTTCATCTGGTCCTCAGGTGTTCCTGCTTTTTATCTCTTCTACATGTCAGGGCTTGTGACCTTCTCACGACTCATCAGTTAAGGATAAATGAAATATGGTGCTACTATACGAGTGTTAAATAAAGTGACTAAGGTTCAAGTTAAATTCCTCTAGAATAAGGGGGGTTTGTTGTGGGTGCACTAATGTCGTCTTAACACACCCAGGATCCGTACATAAAGAGGCAGTTCTTTATCATGAGATATGCCCTGGCTAGGATCTGTTCTGTTCTTCTCAATTCCCCCACTGATGATGTCTCTTAGCCTCTGCTCTGGTCCTCTAACCCTGAAAGCCCACTACTGCAGAAAAGATTAGTTCACAGAATCTTTTCCTCTAACAGATGCAAGAGTTTCATGAACAATAGTGTAACAGCAGTAGAGTGGCAGAAGTATTAGATCACTGCCCACCACTCAAAATGAAAACTAAAGCACCACAAACAATACTAACATAAATTATTCAAATATATATTGGCCACTTCTTTGAGTTGTTTCCTTGGCTGCAGTACTAAGCTATTCTCATAAATACAGATGTTGATAAGCACCTTAGCTTCCACATCGTACCTATTTACTAAGGCAATAGCAACTGTTTTTTCCCCCTCAGGGCTGTGAATATCCTGCTCACAGGTTTTGTCTAAGCTCCCAATAACACCAATAATTTCTACCTGTGGAGCTGGCATTAAGTATATTGAGAGATCTGATTTTAAGTTTTATTTATTTTATTTTATTTTATTTTATTTTATTTTATTTTACATGTGTGAGTTTTTGCTTGCATTCATCACAGGGACATCTGTGAGCCACATATATGGATATTACCTGAGGAGGTCAGAAGATGGTATTGGATGCCATGGAACTGTAGTTTTGAGTGACTCTAAATTATGAGTGGCCCATTTGGTTCCTGGGAAAAGAAGCTGGACCCTCTGTAAGAAGAACAAGTACACCTTCCCACTGAGCCAGCCCTCATTGCTGGGCTTTGGGAACTTTGCAAAAGATGAAGTAGAAAGCGAGTGGCATTCAAAAACACAAAGAAATGAAGGCCTTCAAGACACAACAAGGCTGATGAACATAGTAACTCATAGAGTGTAGCAGAATGCACAGTTCTAAACCATATAGCCTCCCAGGGCTAAAAGGGTAAGTGGATACAAGACCCCCATTCCTACCAGAAACTATTTTCAATTAATAACTGTTTGCAAAGGAAAATTAGTTTTTTCCAATGAAGTCTCACTGGGTTTACAAACCATACTCAAGGTAGATCACAAACCCAAGCCACAGAAGAACAGCACAAACTGAACTCAATGGTATTTTGGGGGGAGTTTTAATCTCATAACACTCTGTTTTTGTTTGAGATTTTATTTTTAGTTCCTTATTTGTTTTCTAATGTTACAAAGAAAAAAATTCTCTGGATTTGTGTGAGTGGGGAGATGAAGAAGAACTAGAAGACTTGAGGGGGAGAAGAGTAATCAGAATCCATACTATGAATAGTCTATTTTCAGTATAAGTATAATTACTTTTAATTTATTGTATTCTTCATTTCATGTACCACATTGTTGTTTACCATTTCCACCATGAAGCATGCGCAATGCACAATCAAGTAGTATGCTTAGTGACAGCTCTCCCCAGCAACCTTAGAAGCACCTTCCAGTGACATAAGAGCTGGACAAGAGAGAACACTTGCAGCTTAGTCTTAGACTTATTTCTCCAAATACTGCAACCAATATATGGAACATCTTAAGCAATAGGATCTTACCATCTAGCTCTGGGAGACAACCAGCAGCATTGGCAATAATAGTCTTTATCATTTTAGAAGCTTCTAGGGCAGTGGTTCTCAACCCATGGGTAGGGCCCTATGTGGGTTAAAATAATTTTCGAAGGGGTTGCATATCATATATTTATATCACAATTCATAACAGTAGCAAATTCACAGTTATGAGGCAGCAACAAAATAATTTTATTATTGGGGGGTCACCACATATGGGGAACTGTATTAAAGGGTCACAGCACTTAAGATGGTTGAGAACCACTGCACTAAATAGTAGATATTTTATTTTGTAATGCTTAGTCAAAGAAGATAAATCACTGTGTGCAAATGTGACCAGATATTTACAACTATGAAAATGCATAAATTGTTGTACAGGAGTTACATTAAATATAGAATGAAAGTGATGCTTTTTTAAAAGTACTCTCAGTATTTTTAGACACGTGTGGCCTTTTTGTGCTTTATTACTAAACAATACTGTTTAGGATGGAAAAACGAGAATAGAAAAAAAGGGAAGTAAGTGTATTGCAGGACAGAAACTTAGATTGCTTCTCCAATGGGAAGAAAAATAGAGAATGTTTGCTTCATTTCTCTTTTTGAATTTCTGTATATTTACCTTTTGCTTAAGTGTTATATCTAAAAAATGCACTGCTAACATATCTATCCATTTAATATTTCACCCTAAGAAATTAAATCTTTCCAATCCTTCTATGCCTCCAAGTATGGTAGAAGAACTTTGACACCAAACCTTACTCCATCACTAGAGATGGAGCAACAGAAAACCAATCCATCAGACAAAAGTAGATTGTCTCCCTTTTTCTCAAAAAACAATTGAAGTAATGCACAAGCTAGTTGTGCTGGGACCACAGCATATGTGGTAATCTCAGGTCCAAGAGAAGTGAAGAAGAAGCAAGAGAGATAATTACTTCATACAGATGATAATATACACTCTAAGACAAATGCTTTGTTGACTCCCATGGGAGGATTCTCCCCTTTCTGAAGGAGGAGGAGCTGATGGTGGGTGACAGGGATAGATGGAGAGTGGCTGGGAGGCAACGAGAAAAGGGGGGATGGGAAACTGTGGTAGGTATGTGAAATAAAGAAATAATTAATATCAAAAAACAAAGCAAATTTACAAAAGACAAATGCTAAAATTGCCAATGCAGATATACAGAGCACCATGTTTTACTAGGATGCTCTCCTGGGCATCATTTTTAATAGTGTCTGGAATGCTTTAATTTGAAATGGACTTTCCTGGTTGAATACAACTTAATACATATGTGAAGAATTGAAGATACAGTAGTGTTTATGTAATACTAAATGTCACTCATCCGACTGTATTATTCATTATCATTTCTTTTTCACATTCAAAACTCTTTTGATCCTTTTTTTGTCATTATTATTTGTGTAGCCCTCCATGACTTCTCTACCTTGTCCTATATCTCAATTGAAAAATAGATAAAAGGAGGCCTACTCTCTTTATCTTATTCATGATAATTTGTGCTATGATGAGCATTGCATGCATAAGCATCAATAATGCAAAGTCTCTGTTGTAACCTAAATAAGATTTACTCCATATTTCTTATGTGGACACCTCAGACATATAATCTATTTCCTCCTCAAGTTTATTACTAGAACTAGAAACCTACACAAAAACTATCTTCATGATTAAAGTGTGAGTATAAAAATGACAAATCGAAGAATTAGAGGTAGAGGTCAGCATTTGATCAGATCTACTTGTCTAGAATCCTTAAAAGCATTCCATTGACACCAATTCATTTAATCCTCATAAAAGTTCCCTAATACATGGCATTAATAGGACCATAAAGAAGTGAGACTCTGGTACTAGATAGAGAGTTCATATAGAGATTGTATCACATGAATCCTAAGTGGAATGTGAATATGAAATTTAATCCCTTAGTAGAAAAATTTCAGGCAATAGATTTTGCTATCACCACTTGGTCTGCATTCCCCTCCCCACCCCGACAGGCTGTACAGGTTTCCTGTAAAATGTTCATGAAATTTCCTCAGTACTTCAATTTCATTACCAAGATGGTAGCTAAGAGACATAGCAGCAAGCAATTTAATACAGAGATGGCATTCATATATTTTTTGGACACTGGTCAAAGATGAAAATTCGACTTTTTGTGACACTAATACTGGCATTAAAAGCATCACTCAGTCATTGTCCTTCTCCAGTGCCTATCAA